CCCCAAAACCCCAAAACCCCAAAACCCCAAGGAATAAAATAAGCTTGACATTTTAAAATCATTTTTTTAATAGTTAAAAATCAGATTAATGTCATTTCTTGAATACTTGCAGAAATCATAATGCATTCAAGATGCCAAGATTTTTATTGATCACTATTTCTTTTTTCCTATTTAATCTCTACCAACGAAAGATTTCATGCCATCTCCTGTGGTAAATTAAACTATCCATAATTTCAAACTCAATGGAAAGTAGTCAAAAACCATCTTAAGGTAGCAAATATACCACCAGATGTATACTTCTCTTTTTTCTTGGATGATTGAATCGTAGATTCTGTTTGCTGTATATTCTGGTTTAAGAGTAGGGACAATGCTATAAAATTAGTATAAAATTAGAGGGGACATAAAGCTAGAAATTAGAATCAATTTTATATAGTTTTGCATATTATACTTACTATTTCATTTTGGGGTCAAACCCATGGAATAATCCAGTACTAATGAAATAAGGATAAATATTTGTCAAGCAAACATTTGGTCTATCTTAAACAAGCTCTTTAGAAATAGATAAACTTATTTATTTATTACCTTATCTTATTGCGTCAAATGATCCAGTTAAAGCAAATTTGCTTCCACTGTAGTCTGAATTTTAGGCGGAAGCAGCATGGCCAGCAATTGAAATTATATTGACTAGATGATATTCACCATACTCTTTCGATTCAATTAGAAATTTCTAGTCCAAAAATAGTTTTGTCAGCTACATGATTGAGAAGTAGTTAATCTCAATAGTCTTCTTAAACTGTTCAAATTGCATATCACAAAATCTTTTACCAATCGCTCTTGCTGCATTATTTATTAGTAAGTTGACTTGCTTATGAGTGGAAATAATACTATTCCATGTTATTAGCAATTGAGTTGGGTCACTAATATCAACTTTAATGAATTCTATACTTTTTATTCCTGTCTCTTATTTTATATCTTAAACTATTAGTAATATATATTAGGTAAGAAAAATGGATACCAGTCTAAAGTCCTAGATTTTCTTGAATATCTATAAGGACTAGATGAATATGGTCGTTGTGATTTTTGCTAAATTGAGCGGCCATTAATTTACCCAAGCCCTAGGCAGCTCCAGTTATCACAATTACATACTTCTACCCATTCTTTTCCTTGATAGTTTACTTTCTTCTAGTGAAAACATTCTGTTTCAATGCAAATGCTATTATTGATAGGCTTAAAATGACAATCAGTTAAGTTAATAGGTAGCAGCAGTCCATTAGTACTACAAAATTTAGAATTATAGATCTTTGTAAATACTTAGATTAACATCTATCATAATTTTCAAAGTTAAAAATTTTGATTTTATCAATACTTATTTTATCGATATATCACTAAAGGGGTTTTGGGGTTTTGGGGTTTTGGGG